GTCCCAATCGCCTTCGGGCCCTAATATTGCATAATGTCTGGCCCAGACTCAGAGACTGCAATCTCGTTAAGCGTTAAGGGGGACAGACCAGACACTTGCCAAGTTCGACATCGACGATTCAGCTCGTTTTTCAAGCGGTGAAAATAAAGCAAAATGGAAATGGAATTGGAAATAAAAGTGTCGTCGCCAACAATTAACACTAATAAGCTCGAGCTGGAGCTGGCGCTGCGGTGCAATGTGCTTTCGTTTATGTAATGGGCCGTCGCATCCGCCGACATCGTCATTATCAGCTGACTCGCTTATTGGGCATTATTATTCATTACTGATAATATCAATTTGGCACGCCCGCGAGTCTTTCTCTGTGACTTTCTGGCCCTTACGCAAAACTAATGCCCCAGCTCAAATAAGTGGGTCACTATTCAAAGTGGAGCTAGCAACGGTTTTTGACCATCGCTATTTCTGGTTTAAAACAAGTCGAGAGCTTTTTATAAAAACAGGACTTTCCTAGATATCTCAGAGCTTTAAGCTCAGGAAGGAAATAAGGTAGGACTTCTAGCTAAAATTAGTCTAGAGCTTTACTATAAACTCTTACTATTTGAAAATCATTTGGAACACATTAATGTTAATGTAAATAACAACTACAATTTCAAAGTTCAACAGAATATATTAAAACTTGTAGTATCCCCAGAGAATCCAGGTTTTTGATTCCAAATGTATCAGATGCTATGGAAGGGAAGTAAAGTTACAATATTATAAATGCATTAACAACTTTCGCTTTTTTGCCCTGCTATGTGCAGTCTCATGTCGGGTTATGTAAAATGCACAAATGCAACTAAAGGTTTTGCTGTGCATAAAATGATAAGCAAAGGGAAAGCTAAACTTCCGGATCAATATTTAAAACGTTTTTGCCAAAACATCATACCATAAATTCAAAGTTAAACATTTAATCATAATGTAACCCAAAAAGACCGTAAAAAATCAGTCGATGTATCAAAAGCCAGGGAAATAATGGTCAAATCATAAAATGTCATACACTGTTGACTTCGTAATAAAATTTCCAATCGAATGGCATACACAGTTTAAATTTTTTTAGATTTTCAAATTTCTGCAAAAAATGAAAAAATAAAATTTGGACAAAAATAAAATTTTCAAAAAACGTTTTTCTAAATTCTGTTTTTGTGTCAAAACAAAATAAATTGTTTTAAATCGATCAGGGACGGATGGTATGGGTTACCAGCTGTTCAAAATAGCAACTCTTTTGACTTTGGGTCTTATTTTGGCAAAGTTACAACAAAAAGACTCATCAAAAATAATTTTGTTTGAAAAATCGCCAAAAATCCCAAAAAACACATTAAAAACTTGGTTTTTGTGTCAAAACTCTGGGAAATAATGGTCAAAATGTAAAATGTCATACACCGTCGAATTCGTAATAAAATTTCCAATCGAATGGCATTCGCAGATAAAATTTTTTCAGATTTTCAAATTTCTGCAAAAAATGATGATGTACCCCCTTACAAAAAAGTCAGAAATTTGGACAAAAATAAAATTTTCAAAAAACGTTTTTCTAAATTCTGTTTTTGTGTCAAAACAAAATAAATTGTTTTAAATCGATCAGGGACGGATGGTATAGGTTGCCAGCTGTTCAAAATAGCAACTCTTTTGACTTTGGGTCTTATTTTGGCAAAGTTACAACAAAAAGGCTCTTCAAAAATAATTTTGTTTGAAAAATCGCCAAAAATCCCAAAAAATACATTAAAAACTTGGTTTTTGTGTCAAAACTCTGGGAAATAATGGTCAAAATGTAAAATGTCATACACCGTCGAATTCGTAATAAAATTTCCAATCGAATGGCATTCACAGATAAAATTTTTTCAGATTTTCAAATTTCTGCAAAAAATGATGATGTACCCCCTTACAAAAAAGTCAGAAATTTGGGCAAAAATAAAATTTTCAAAAAACGTTTTTCTAAATTCTGTTTTTGTGTCAAAACAAAATAAATTGTTTTAAATCGATCAGGGACGGATGGTATAGGTTGCCAGCTGTTCAAAATAGCAACTCTTTTGACTTTGGGTCTTATTTTGGCAAAGTTACAACAAAAAGGCTCTTCAAAAATAATTTTGTTTGAAAAATCGCCAAAAATCCCAAAAAATACATTAAAAACTTGGTTTTTGTGTCAAAACTCTGGGAAATAATGGTCAAAATGTAAAATGTCATACACCGTCGAATTCGTAATAAAATTTCCAATCGAATGGCATTCACAGATAAAATTTTTTCAGATTTTCAAATTTCTGCAAAAAATGATGATGTACCCCCCTTACAAAAAAGTCAGAAATTTGGACAAAAATAAAATTTTCAAAAAACGTTTTTCTAAATTCTGTTTTTGTGTCAAAACAAAATAAATTGTTTTAAATCGATCAGGGACGGATGGTATGGGTTGCCAGCTGTTCAAAATAGCAACTCTTTTGACTTTGGGTCTTATTTTGGCAAAGTTACAGAAAAGAAGTAAATGTAAAACTGTAAAAATAACTTATCTTTGAACAGTGGCTCTGAAACTAAAAAAAATTTACTTAAGCAGCATAAAAGTATGCAATCCAAACACTAAAAACCCCAAACCTCAATAAAAAAAAACACTACAAATTCCAAATAACTCAAATCTAAGCCCCATTTTAAAATTATTCCATATGTTAAAAGTCGTTTATAGATATTGACAAAAAGCATCTTAAAAAAAAGAACTACGAAAATCCAAATAACCCACTATAATAACAGGATCAAATAAAAGAACACATGTGGTATATTTTTTTTTGTAATATTTTAATACATTTTCTTTGTTCTTGAATACATACAATGTTTTTTTTTTTGTTTCTTTTGTTGTATAACACCGACAAAGCAACTGGTTTCGCTGTGGGTAGATAGTTCACAAACGAGGCCGAATAATATGCCATCCAAGTACATGTACATTTGGGCTCCCCGGGGAACCCGTAAATATGTGTAGATATATAAGTAAATATATTATTTTCATATATGTAGATGAGTGCGTTAACGCGTATTTGTGTGTGTGTGTGTCTGTATTCGAGTGTGTGTGTGTGAGTGTGTAAATATGCACAATGATATAAAAAGTTACATAATTGCATTATGCCTGACTTCTATATGTGTATCCAAAAGATATCGCTCACAAAAAATATCTTCGATAAAACATTTTGTTTCTTTATTTATTATTTTTAGCTAAATATTCTCGTACACACGCACATGTATATTTTTAAAGATGTAAATCGTATATAAGTATGTTTTTGTGTATATATAAGATATTCCTTGTTCGCTTCATTTCTTTTGTATATATATATATATTTACTTGACAAACAACAACAAAAAAATTTGTTCTTGTATCTTGTTTGTTTGTTGTAAATTTTCACAAATACAGGCTTTAGAGTACTACAAATTGGGTTTATCCATAAACGGGGAGTACGTTTAATTCTAATTTCGTTATAATACATACATAAAGGGAAGTGCTGCCAGCTGCATTAGAGTTTCGACTTCGAAAATGTTAACAACAAAAAAGCATGGTTAATGAATGGGTTTAAATAGCCATCTAAAAAACGCATCCTGTTTTTTTAACAATGCTTTTTCGTTTTATCGTTTTATCTCTTATTTTACAGACAACATCATTTTCCCTTAGCTTGTGGGCTTGGCCGCTCGCTTGTGTGTGTGAGTGTGTGTGTGTGTGTGTGCTTAACCGCTTATCGAACTACTTATATCCTATGTAACATATTATGCTTACAGAACTATCGAAAAAAAAAACACTTGTATATTTGGATATTCAGTTATGAACTACATACGAAAAAAAAAAAACATTTCCCTAGGGCTAAGTTTCACTTTCACTTACGCGAGAATCGAGAACGAAAAGAGATAGTTGGCTGTTCAAGTTTGAGAAAAAGTTGACTAAGCACTAGATTTCTCCGGAAACATTCGCTATATATACACCCCTGTAGCCGCTTCCGTTTCCAAATCTGATTCAAACTAAGTTTATCCTAACAGCTCGTTGAAAAACCCACCGAAAAGGTGAAGTTCCAAACTGGTTAAAAACGAAATTTACTTAATTTATCTTATATTTCCAAAGTTTTGGAAATTATAAAAAAAAAAACTTGCCTTTTTCAACAAGGATATGAAAAAGTTTGACTTTAAATATGAGTCTTACACTATATAACGAATTTAATTAGTGCAATAAATGAATTTTAATTGTTGTGGTGAAAAATTAAGCTTTGGTAGATAATTTTAGCGAAAAGTGATATTATTGTAAATAATTGGACTTCACATTAGTGTTTACTGATTTTCGTACAAGAGAAGTTTTAGCAAATTTTGCTTTTTGATAATGGAAGTTGGGATTTTACATTGCCCTTAAGTGATTTTGAATTATGTAATGCAACCTTTTTAAACAAAACCTCAAGTCTGGTTAAGAATAACCTTTGTGATATAGAGTGTTTTGATTTAGGAAATTGTTAAACTGATTTTCAAAGATTTGTTTTCTGATTTGAATTGGAAACGTACACAGGGTCGCTTATAAATATAATATATATTCGATATTCCCGATATTCCCGCTTACAGCAAACGCAGAAAGAAAAAAAAAAAGAGAAAGCAAATCAAGTGATTTTGTGCCTAAAACGTAAGCCTAAGAGCTACAAACTAAATTTCGAAAACAATGTACACGCGCATCTAGAACTCCTTGAGGCTGCCGCCGCGCTTCAGCTTGGTCAGTCGCTTCAGACTGGCACCCAATTTGTTTCCAGCTCCCGCTCCTCCCGCTCCACCATCGTTGCCGGCACTGCGATCGCGCTGGATGAAGGAACCCCGGAAGCGAACGCGTCCGCGTCCACGGCGCTGCATCTGCATCTGTTGGAGCTGCTGGAGCTGCTGCTGCTGCTCGCCCACGCGGCGCCACAGCTCGGTGAGCGGCGGATGGTGCTGGTGGGGATGCTGCTGAAGGGTGCAGCAGCACACCAGCTCCTGCGATTATAACTTCTTCTCCCACACCACAATGTGGGCGTCATTGGAGTTGGCCGTCAGTGGCGAGCAGCTGGGATTATCCTGTCCGCCCGAGCCGGATGCACTGCCTCCGCCGGAGGAGCTGTTCTTGTGGCTGGGCGAACCGCCCGCCCCGCCATTGTACCACATCTGGCGCCAGTAGCCCCGTCCGCCCATCAGCGTGATCACTGTCCGCGGTCCGTCGGCGCTCTGCTGCTGCTGCTGCTTGGAGTTCTGCTTCTGCTTGCGCTTCAGCGTGGCCACCGCAGCGGCGGCTGGTTTGTCCAGGCCAGCAGCACTCACTGTGCCCCCCAGTCTGCCGCCTGTCTCCTCTGTTTTGCCTGAGGAGGAGCTAATTAGCAACTGCTGCTGCTGCTGCTGCTGCTGTTGCTGGTGGTGGTGTATGTCCGCCGTGGTCATCAGCCCGTTCTCGGATATATTGCCCAGATCGCTGCCCGTGCCGGAGGTCTTGTGGCTGGCACTGCTGCTGTTTCTCGAGACGGATCTCCCGCCAAAGTGCCGTATGCCCATGCTCTCCTCGCTGCCCGACGACGTGTACAGGCTGGAGGACTTGGAGTCCACGGACCAGTTGGACAGGTCCAACGACCTCGGCCGCGAGGCCTTCATCCGCAAGCGCCTGTCCAGGGTGCACACCTTGCCGGGTATGGCGGCCAGCTCGGGATCGGAGCGCCTCATGCCCTCGTACATCATGTCCATCAGGTTGCCCTGGTTGCCCTCCTCCGCATCGTAGTCCTCCTTCACGAATATCAGCTTGCCATACAGGCCGTAGACATCGCAGATGCCGTGCTCGGTGTTCCCTGTCGAATTGGCCGAGCCCGGGGTGCCAGGCACTACGCCCGCTCCTGCTCCCACTCCCATTCCCACTCCCACTGCTGCAGTGGCTCCCAGGCCGCGTGGCAGGGTCTTGGACATCCGGTTCGGATCGTCGCGGAAGCGCTTGCGGTGAAAGGCCGGCGAATTGGCCAGCGAGGCGCGTATCTTGGCCGTGAAGCTCTGGTCCAGCGAGTTCTGCTTGTCCAGCTTGGAGCTGCGCGGCGACGAGGCCGTTGAATCGGCACCCGGACTGGCCACCACCGCCGCCGCCGCCGCTGCTGCTGCTGCATCCTCCTTGGCCAGATCGCGGCGCAGCACGACGGCACCGTCGTCCAGCTCCTGGATCTTGGGATCCGCATCGATGGCCGGCAACTGGAGGTCGTCGCCCATGCTGGGCACCAATGGAGCAGCTGCACCACCCACTGGCGGTGGCTTGTAGGCGGGATAGACCTTGGGGATGAGCGGCAGCAGGAAGGTAATCGGACCGAAGTGCGCATGGCAGGACATGTTGATGCCGCCGCTGATGATGGGCACGCCCTCGAGGCGGGGCAGCGGAATGGTCACCGCAATGCCCACATTGGTGCCCACCCAGAGCAGGCCCTTGCAGGCCATCAGGGCGGTCACATACACCGAGCTGTTGTTCAGCGGCTGCTCCTTCTTGCCGTCGTGCCGCAGCACACTGGAGGCGATGTTGATGTCCTGCAGGTGCTTGAACGTCTCCGTGTGGTAGAGGCACAGCATCGTGGAGTTCTTCAGCGAGATCCAGAGCCCAATGCCCGAGTGGGCCATCAGGTTCACCTGCTGGCTGGCCCCGTGCTGCACCTCGAAGCTCCGCTGGATCTCTCCATTGAGGGCATTCAGCACGTACACCCGGTTGCCGCACGAGGCGTAGATGCACATGTTGATGGGCAGCAGACTGGGCACGGCCAGGTCGGAGTCGCCCAGCCTGATGGTCTGCGGATCGCGCATCTGCCAGACGCCGTCGTTGCCGCGGCGGAAGATCAGCACCGTGGCCCCCGACAGGGCCACGTAGACGGCATCGAAGTGGTAGAGGATGCGCTGCACTGCCCCCGCCACCGCATAACTGCCCAGCTGCTCCTCCTGCTCCGGATTTCTCGCTGAGTACACCAGTATCTTGCGGCTGTCCGTGCCCAGCCAGACCAAGTCGCCCAGCAGACTGGCCGGCTCGTCGCGCGTCCTCAGCTGATCCAATCCCTTGACGAACTCCAGCGCCGAGATCTGCGTCTCGAAGAGATCGAAGGCACCCGCCTCGCGCAGGTTGCCCGCCTGCTGCGGATGCTGGGCCAGCACGGTGATGTGCGACGAGGTCCCGTCGCTGCTGCACATCCACAGGTAGTTCAGCTGCTTGTGCCGCCGGCGCGCGTTGCCGCTCTGCTTGGTGTCATTGGCGATGCTGTAGTAACATCCACAGCGCACCTGTAAATTTAAGGGGAACACATTATTATGCATATCCATATTTGGGTGGGTCAATTTTAGTAGATCCGGAAATAATAACACAATCTTTAGAACCTCACTTTTTAATTTAAGTATTTCTTACTTTGATTTGCATCCATTGAGGTTTTTAGTTATTTTTAATATGAAAGTGACTACTTCTGGAATTTATTTTAGTATAGAATATTTAATATTTATTTTATTATCGGTGCTCAAAGCCTAAGTGGCAAATAAACTAATGGCCTTAAGCCTCAAAAATCGTTTGAAAAATACCATATACAAGGATTTGTTGAAAAATTTAAAACCCCTTTTTGTTGCTCATAAAGCTACTATGCCAATATGATATTTTATTTATAAAAATCAGTTGCATTTTTATATCGTGTCTACTAGCACCCAAAACTATGGTATTTTTACCAAACATTATAACATTTATAATTTATAAATGGATTTTAAAATGGAATTAAAAAAGCTGTTGTAAAAAGGTGTGTTTGCTATATCTTAAAAAATTTAAACAAATTTAATATAAATTTAGGAACTATTCCTAAAATGTTGTACATTATAAAAGATCTAAACATTGCCTAGATTATGAGCCCACCGTAAACATTTAGGAAAGAAGTATCTTAAATAATGCTTAAAGTTGATTTTTCTAAGGTAGTTTTGTCCTAAATATCGCTACACACCTCGGTTTGATGCTGTGACTTGTAGACAGGCATCGCCTTGACAAAGAGCGGCATTTTGCGGGACTGCTTCTGCTGGACGGCCTCCTGCAGCTGCAGCTGCTCCAGCGTCTGGCGTGGATCGCCCGCGGTCGCGTGCGCATGCTGCTGCGGATGGTGGTGGTGCGGATGATGGGGATGGTGGTGGTGGTGGGCGGACTGCGGATGCGATCCACCGCGCTCCCAGGCCGGCGAGTTGTTGGGATCAAGGGCCAGCTGGGCCAGGCGCAGCTCCGTGATCCACTCCTTCTTCACCGCCGGCGTCTGCGTCTGGAATGTGAAGGTCTCCTCCTTGCCGGACTTGTGGCGCCCGGTGAGCTGCAGGCAGCAGGAGTCCACCCAGGCCATCTCCTCGTCCTTGCGCTGGATGGAGCCCTGGATGAGGTTGAGCACGTTGCGCGTCGTGTTGGCGTTCAGCTCCTTGTAGCTGCCCTTCAGGCTGCACACCAGGTCCTGGATGCGGGAGATCACCTCGTAGTCGTACATCAGCGTGCTCATCTCGCTGCACAGGTTGTCGGCCCCGTTGGTCAGTTGGGCAGCCGGCGAGCTGTGCGGGTCCCCGAATCCGGAGAAGCCAACGGAGCCACCTCCTCCTCCTCCTCCTCCTCCCCCGTATCCCGGCAGCGTACTGTTGGCATAGGGACTGCCGTTGGCGCCACTGCTGCCATTCGACTTTAAGCTGCCGCCGCGATTGAGACCTGCAATCCAAATAAATCACATTATGATCACATTGTGCACACAAGTAAGCTTAACAATAGTAAGGCAAGGCACCCCATTTAGTTAATTGTAAAAGCTTCACAAGAAAAATAAAAAAAATGTTCAAAAGTTGCTTTTAAACTATTTTTGAAAAAAATAATATTACCAATAGGCATAGCGGCCCATTCATCTAATTCCCGATCCTTACCCGCTGTGAGAATCCTGGAGAGCGTGGCCGATGTGCTGTTGTCGACGATATCGACGTCGTTCACCGGGAACATCCACTTGAAGGTGAGCTTCTCGGTGGCCCCGAAGTCGTGCGACTGCTTGGGCGCCACCGAAACGCAGATGACCTTGTCGTTGAGGAGCAGCAGGCGGCGCTGCTTGCACTTGACAATGAAGCCGGCCTGGTTGAACTCCATGTGGGTGACGTTGTCCTCGCGGAGCAGGTACCGCGGGCGATGCCCGCCGGCGGAATCGCTGACGCTCATGCTGCTCAGGCTCAATGATCGGGCATTGAAGGTGCCCGAGATGTGGCCGAGCATCTCCTTGAAGGCCTGGTACTGCTCCGCCTCCCGTTTGCTCTCGTTCAGGAGCTCGGCCAGGAGCTCCAGCTGCGACAGGGCCAACTGCAGGGACATGCGATCGTGGTGACCCTGCGGCGTGTACTTGAGCAGATCCTGCAGGAAGAGGATGAACTGGGGGAAACGCTGGACGGGCTTCACCATCAGCCCGAAAAACGACAGCCGATCGTGGGCACTGATCTGCTTGACCTTGAAGAAGTCGGCCAGCGCCGACTTGCGCTTCTCCTCCATCTTGGCCAGCTCCATGGCCGCCGAGAAGTTGTTGATGAAGCCCGAGTAGATCTCCAGCAGCTGTGGCTTCCCGAAGGCGCTCACAAAGCAGTCGCCAATCTTCTCGTCCCGATCCCAGTTCCGCACACACTCGGCCAACGAGATGCGGAACAGCTTGTGCGAGTGCAGGATGTCCGGCAGGCAATGGAACAGGGTGGCTATCTTCACCGGATTCAGCACCGGCGGACTGCACTCCTCCAGCGGTTTCTTGTAATCCTGCGGATTGAGAACAGCACAATGGTGGTTAGTTTCGTTGAGGAAATGCACTTTCTTAAGGTGTTACACCAGCCTGCAGATTCTTAAAGTCCCCAAAATCATTATCAGATTGTTAAAAGACTGCATCTCCTAGAGAAAACCATTTATTCATTTGATATTAATTTAATTTTATAATTGAAATTTAAATTTGAAATTAAAATTGATTTAAACTAAATTTTTTCCAAAATGTATGTTTCCTTAGGATGTTAACTTTCTTTAGGATTTTTTCTTATATATTGTTTAGATATTTATAATGTGAAATTTAAATTAAAAACTGCATTTACTAAAAGTAAGCAATTTTGTTCATTCTTAATTAACATATATGACTTTCTCATCGTTTTTTAATTTATTTTTTTTTTATATCAGCATTGGTGCAACACCTTTTATTTATTGGTTTACCAATCTTTTGGCGCTGGATTTTTGTATCGGTTTCTCACAGTTTTTTGGCTTAGATTTTAATCTGGTTTTTTTTGTTTAACGAGTGATTACTTGTCTTGGTTTCTTTTCTAATTTTGTAACTACTTGTGGGTGAAATGATGATTTCGGGTTCAAATTTGGGTGTGTGTAAGTGAGTGTGATTAGTTAGTTAGTTGGTTGGTTGGTTGGTTGGTTGGTTTTATGACGGTGAAATCGGCAGTTATGGCATTTTGGGAAGAGGATGGCATGTAAAGAGATCAAATGATTGGACATGAGATTAACATTAGTTAGGTGGTTAAATGGGGTAACTAAGGTTGTCTAGCTACTAAGGCATGCAGTGGCATTTACGTAATCTACTAGAGATTTAGTAGGTTTGCAGTTTGAAAAACGAAATGATTTAATTTAATGGTGTACATGAAAGTAGTCCTTAATCTTAAATATCTTATATTTTAAATGCATCTGATACTGACAAAGTGTGCTATCCAATTTTAGTTTACATCTAGTTACTCTCACTCTGAATTTCGTTCACCTCATATCACAACGTTACCCCAGATCATCCACAACTAGAACTAAACAAACCTATAACATATATATTTTTGAGTACCAAAATATCAGATATTTTTTGTACAAGATTAGCCTAATGGATCTCAACCCGATGAACGAGCAGATCCCAGCGCAGCAGGAGCTACTGAAGGATGAGGACAAGCAAGAAGATGACCATCTACGTTGCAAGGAAGCGATGAGGGGTGAGGCCATAGCCAAGGCGTTGGGCGATGTGCAAATCTATGTGGAACTTGGCGAGGAGGAGGCCTTTGTGCAAATGAAGCCGCCACAGTTGCACAAGTTTAGGGTGACTCCGAATGGAGTGGATTCGGGATCATCGGAATCGAACAAGTTCGACCGAGCCGATCCTACGGACATTGCTCGTTGGGACTTGAAACGGGAGCTCAAGTTGGATTTGATTTCAAGCCAGTGGGCCGAGCAGATTGGCAAACTTCAAACCGACGAAGTCACTGGCGAAGTGTACATGATAGTGCCCATCGATATAAACATACTCGTAGACCAATCCAAAATGACGCCCGATTTGGCCACGAAAAGCATCACCGAAGAGGATGCCTACAAGGAGGAGACGGGACCGGGACACACCTTCTATTTGTACCACGACCTCGATGAGCATCCTGGGCAGCTGCCGAAAACAGCGTTGGATCAGCAAAACCAAGTGGACAGTCAGGATGGCCAGAACAGTCCGGATATCAAGGTTAGCCAGGACAAAGAGGAGCAACAGCCGGCATATAAAGCAAACTGGAACTACCACTTGCACGAATTTGAGGTGCCCAAGCTCAGCTTTCCCTTTGAACTCTCCCTGAACCCAGAGTTGGTCCGCTTGTTGGGTGGCCGAACGGAAAACCAAACTGAAACCAAAGAAATCCCCTTGGATTCCGAAGAAATGCCAACGGATTCGGGAGAATTACCAACGGATTCGGTAGTCTCAACGGAGGAAGATGAATCGGAAAATCCAAATCTGGAAGAGCTCAACTACCTCGAAGAGCTTATTGAGGATATGGAGGTCTAAAAGGCAAACTGTATCTCCAAAAATATTATTACAAACAAAATTCTATCAAGCCTAGATTATTTCAACCGTATCTCGTATCTAGTTGGTTATTAGGGAAGGAACAACTAAATTTTATAAGCTATACTCAAAGCATGCAGTGAAAATATATAAATTAAAAAAAAATATACATGCTGATTTTGAATCGATTGCGTAATATTAAAAAAGATCTAGTTGGGTACTACTGGAAGACTCTTAGAATAACTATAAATATATATAATTTCCGATTTTGTAACCGTTTGAGGGGGCATTATTTGAGGCATACTCACATTGACTAGTCGCTGCAGGGTGGCCACATACGAGTTCTCACTGTGGACGATGGCCGCCACGATGTGGCGCCTCTTCAGCTGCTGCTGGGACAATCCGGCGGGCGCGGGTGGCAACATGGGCACAATCAGCCGGTTGTGGGCTGTACGAGCGGTACCGTTGGCCCGACTGCCCGGCGCCATCATCAGGTCCATGTCGAAGCGATTGGCGGTGGCCTCATCATCCTCCGACTGCAAGGAGGTGGTTTAAATATAAGAGTTAAATTATTTTGCTTTAAAATTCTCCAAGTTTTTATTAAGCACAACAAATGACTCACCTCTGGCACACCGGGCATCATTTTGCTGGCCCCCAAATTGGCCAGCTTTTGCGGCGAGGCGGCGTCCAGCGCTGCTCCTTGGCTCGATCCGCCGGATGATCCGGCTGAGCCCAGGCCGGAGTTACCTTTTCCCGTGGCATTTGGCGAGCCCGAATCGGGCGTATCGAAGCTGGAGGCTGTGGAGTGGCGTCCATCGCGCCCTCCCACATCGTACTGATGCGAGGAGCCGCGCCTGATGGAGAACCAGCGGGAGAGACGACCGCCGGGCGATTCACCCGGCGTGGTGGCCTCCTCCCTCTGGGAGCCACCTGCTCCTCCGCCACCGCCACTCGATGGCATTGTGCAGGCACTGGCCCTGCGCATAATCATGTTGGCGTTATTGTTCTCAGTGGATGATGATCCTGGACCGGATGCGGATGCGGATGCGGATGCAGTTGCCAATACGGAACCTGTTGCGTTTCCGGTGGCGGCCGTGCGCCATTTGTCAAACGACAAATGCTGCTTGGCCTTGTTGAAGGTGGAACGCAATTGCGAATTGCGTTGATTGCCGGCACTTAGCGAACTCACGCTGCTGCTGGTCTGCTCCTCCTCGGTGAGAACCGCTTCTGCCTCCTCCTCCCGCTCCCGCTCCCCCTTCTCCTCTTGCTTCTCCTTGTCCCGCTCCCGCTCCTGATCCCTTTCCCGCTCGAGATTCCTATCCCGTTCACGGCAAGGGGATTTGGTGTCCTGGTCACTGCTGCTACCGCAGCTACTGCTGCTGCCAACGCCAACACCAACGGCAGCCTGGCCACCGTTGGCGCTGAAGCTTCCGCCGGCAATTGTGGCTGCGGTGCAGCCCGCTGCTTCTCGCTGATCCCTCTGATCCCGCTGATCCCGTTGATCCCGCTCCCGCTGCTCGGCAATCCGCCGGCTAAACGCACTATGCAGCTGGGCGGTGGTGATGCTGGCACTGGACGGCGGCGATCCAATGAAGGAGCTCTGCTGATGCTGATGCTGTTGTTGGCGATGATGTGGATGACTGAGGTGGTGGTGGTGCGAGTGGTGTGCGTGGTGGTGATGCGGCTCGTCCAAGGTGTCCTCCCATGAGCCGGAGTTCAGTTTATGTTCATCTGGAGGGATAGAAAAATTAAAACAGAATTAGTATTAAATAGTAAATTGGCTTAGGGTTATCAGTAACTTAAATGGCTTACAAACATCTGCACTTATGAAACTATCAATGTACCAATTTATATCTTTAGCCTTTTGTTTTAATCTTATTTCTTTACTCATTATTTGAGTCGCCAATGGAAGCCCAGTTTTTTTTTTAAGTTAAGAGCACCCCTAAAAATAGATGATATTCAATAGTTGGACATTATCTGGATGACGTAATAGCTTCAAAAGCATTACCAATTATGTGGCGTTGGCCAAGTGAGTTAATTGCCAGCAATTGTGGGCCATATGCAGATGAAGTCGCTGAACAGCACAAACAGCAGCACAAACAGGATTTGGCCATGGCCGTCATGTCTCCGTTTTGCGATTACCGCCAATTTTTGCGGCGTGGGACTGGGATTGTGGACTGGAAATCGGGGACTGAAAAAAACAGAGGAAAGGGGAGGGTTGGAGGGATGGAAGTAGGCATCAAAGCCAGAAAGCCGCCAATTCTGGCCAAGACTCATTCTGGCATCGTGTGGGTTACTTGCCAAGTGGCCATGGCCAGAAAGCCAGCAGCAACTCCCACACTGCGCCACGTACTCCGGCACTCAGCCACTCAGACTAAACAGACTCTACCGACCCACACCACTCCACACCACCACCACTCCGCCAGAACCATCAGAGCCAGCAGAACGGCATTAGAGAGACAACTGTCAGGCCCAAAGAATGCACTGCGAGAAACTGTACATTTCGGTATAATCAAATTCTCGCTTACATTTGTCAATTGAAACAGCTTTTACATTCCCACAATTGCATAATGCATGGTCACACTTAATGTTTTATGGAAACAATGTGACCAATTGATCAAACTAAGCAAATATGTATTAATAATAAATGTTCTAATCATAGCATTTCTTGCAGTGCACCTAGAAGCCAAGCTCTAAGCAAACATTAGGATGGCGATTTCGATTCCGATTGAGATTCAGATGGAAAAACTCAGCAATGGCCGCAGAAACAAAACAGATTCGAGACAAACTCGATGTCATGTTCAAGACCATTAATCATCCAGTGGACGGCGGACGAGGAATGGGGATGTGGTGAAAAGTCGGGTTCAGTTAGCTGTGATAATTGCAAATTCAGCTCAGTCCATCGCTTCGCCGCCCACAACTCACCCCACTTCCCGCCCCCTTTTTAATCCCCTTTCAAATGTGTGAAAAAGGAAAAACCAAAATAAAAATAAAAGAAATCGAAAGAATGGAAAGGGAAGGAAAGGGAAAAATGCGTAAATATTTTGCGCAAAATGTGAAAACATCTTCAAAATTACATTATATATACGGCCCAAAAAAAGGAGACAAATTTCACTTTTACAAAATTGAGTTTGTGTAACTTTTGAAGAGGCGGGGCGGAAATTCGCTTTTCACATATTGAAAAGAGCAGTGGAAAAAGGACGCGGCGGGGGGGGTCGTGGCACGGCACCGTTTAAGTTGATTGTTGGCAAACATATTTTCCTTCTTTTTTTTGGCGTATACTTGGTTTAACATAATCTGTAAGCACGCAAATGCGACCGAGGGAGAGTTTATTAATTAATCTTAAATAACTTTGAAAGAGGGAAGCAGATGATGGGCAAAATTGGGAAATATGAATATATTTATGCACTGCAATAAAAATACTCTTATACAAAAATGTAAAGGAAAATAAAACTTATCAAAACCTTTTTTAAATGAATAATACTTTAAAGTATCCAAATAAGATAAAAACAACAGGTAAAAACAATATAATTTAGTGAATATTTATAATAAAAAAAATCCTTCTTAAGTTAGATATTAAGCATTTTTGTTCTCTCTGCGCATTTGAATACCAATAAACTATGTAAATAAATCAATTGATATTACGGAAAAAACGGAAAATGTATTTGGGACACTGGCACACATTTCCCCACATTCTTACAATTTTCTCATCCTTATATTTGACATCCCCCACGCACACGCTTCGAAATCTACATAGTTGCCGTTTATGTAATTTATTTACTTGCTTTTCGGATTTCGATTTTGTTTGGCCTGTTACGACATCACGTATACGCACCGCTGGCTCATTAATTATCATCACGGCAATGTGCAACAGTTAACGGAAACCGAAAGACAAACTCCTGCCATGGCACGCAAATGAAAAAATAGAAACCCCTTTGGGTGCATCTAAGCCACCTCCGCGACTTTTTGCATAATGGGAAATGATTGTGAAAAATTAATCATACGCCATGTGAGCCCGCGGGGGAGTCTCCCGAAAAAATCGCGATTCTCCCATGCAATATTTTCGGCGTGTTTCGTTTTGTTTACGTTAGTTTTGGCACAACTATTGCCTTCGGTCCATCAGTCAGTCAGTCAACCAGTCACCGAGTTATTCATTCGCTCACTTATTCATTCCATTTGGTACCAATTGCCGCGAGTGATTAATGAGCCACTCATTAATGCCATTGCAGAATGCTGGCAACAAAGAAATCTCTGCAAATGCTAATGCTCACTTAAATTATACAAATTACAAACATCCACACGTTGCCATATCTGTTTGTTCTTTATTGTTTTGCCAACTCATTTCCCGCCCACAGAAACAGACCTCAAACAGTCATAGAAACAAAGTCAGGCGTTCCCCGAGTCCATTGCTAATTGAAATGACAAACCACAAAGACTGTGTGGCCACACACAGCCTCCATGGGTCAAAGACTCGGAATACCCTGGCTAAAATATAAACAAGAAATAAAACAATATTGTATTGAAACCCATATACCAGATTAGCCTCCATTATGTAATATAAATTTATAATAATGTAGGCTAAGCCTCACCGCATCGAGATTTAAAAAGTTTAATCTTTTACCCTATATTTAGCATGTCAAACTTTGTTTAAAACAAATAAGCCAGCTGCGCTTGCCGTATCGGTTTATCCACTCAACTATTTCAATGTCAGTCAGGGGAACTTTAAAAAGTTTGTTTCGACCTGAAAACCATTCTCTCAATGCAGGGCAAAGTTTATACATTTTAATTAAATTATTTTAAACTTTTAGGGAATGCACTTTGCCTCTTTTAGGGCTTGTTAATTAAGCAAGGATTATTTAATTATTACTTAAGCCGGAAACAAGAAAACAAATATGAGGTCAATCTTTTAATTTTTAATTGAAAATAAAAGCCAATACATATTCGTATCTTGCTCATAAATAAATCGAGATCTAGTCGAATATATATGGTGATTTAATTGCTGGGGCCGAGGCAGTTTTCTGGCCAAAATGGAAAGCCCTCAAGTGAAGGGTATTATGGCTGCAAGTAAAAACTCGAGTCTCACTCTGCGCTGCATTTGATGTGCCCTTCTGCCCCGAGATGGTTCATAAATATTTCAGTCCAGCGCAGAATGCAGGCCAGAATGGTTAAGTAGCTGGAAACTAGTCACCTGCTGTTACACCCTTTCTCCCGCCTCTTCTTCTTCTTCTTCTTCTTGTTTCTCCTCCAATTCTCAGATTCTCCATTTCTCCAGAGGGGTTCTAATGAGGCCACAAGGCTTCTTGCGACTCTCTGCCACGAGTTGCAAAGTAATTTCGTGTGTGTCTGAAATTGAGCAGCGGGCAGTCCCCCTTTTCTCCCTCCAATTTCCTCCCACACTGCTCAGCCCTGCCCATTTCTTCTCTTTTTGCTTTGCACCCGGCGCAAAAGTATGGCTGAGAGGCAAAAATTCAGCAAAGTTGGCAAGTTTTCTAAGCCAGCTGCAGCGAAAAGCTGGCAGCTAAAGAGTTTAAACAGAGGAGCGGGACTCACAACAAAATCTATCTAAAATAGCTGGGCACTACCACTGTTAAATATATAGTATAATTAAAAGCATTTTTACAATCAACAAAGGTTGGTTTTATTAATTTGACTCCCATAGCATTCGTCCCTTTCTGCAGTAGTGTCACCTTGCAACACTACGCATATAAGAACAAAAAAGTCTGACCAGTTGATAACAAGAAGCAAATTTCCATGAATTTAAGTTAACCTTGCAATAAACCATTATTTTCTAAAACATATAATCCTTTTCTCTGTGTAAAAGTAGAAGTGGAAGCTGGCGGAAGCTTATTACGCACAGTGCCAAAAGAAAAAAACAAAAATCGCAGGAGACAAGGCAAGGGAATCTCACATATGGATATATCGCAAAAACCCCTTTCCTTTCACCGCTCCTTCCCCACTTTTACATCACACGAGGCCATAATAAATGTGAAAATTGCTTTCTATTTGCAATTTTGATGCCCAGGACCAAGACGAGAAACGAGAACGAGCTGAGTGAAAAGTAAGGCAGCGAAAAATACGGAAGGGAAAGTCAAAGTAGCGCGTGCCTTTGTCATAAACTAATTATTATAATGTAAATCACACACGCAGTGCTGAGCTGAGCAGAGCAGAGCCCACTTCTGACGGCAACCAGCCTCCAATCCAAACATTGGACGGATGATAATGAGCTAATCCTGCATATTCATGAGCGGAAGCAGGTGATAATAAGGGGGCGGGACAGGCGGAAGTGCTAAAGAAGTAGTGGATTAAGCCGGGAAATTCTTCAGGTGCACTGTGCGAAACTATTACCAAAGTGGGTCAACGATAACACAAAAAAATGCGTTATCATTATTAACTATTTTCATTTTCATTTTTTTTATTACACTTGCAATTTTGGTAAGCTCATTTAATGCTTGTTAAAATTAAAATTTTTAAAATAATTATAGTATATGTATTTTTTTTTCATTTAAATACTAACCAAACAATCAATTTCAAGACGCCAAATTAAGATATTCATTTTTCCTGTTTTACTTATTTTTCGATTTAAATACCAATCAAAACATACATTTCGCAAACCCCAAATGAAGTTATTAACTTTTTCTGAGATCTATAAAATCATTTTTCATGTTTTACTTTTGGGGACGAATTAAAGATCTTTGCCTGGTTTAATCACGCTCGATTCTTGGCCAAAACCA